GGAGGGGCGGCCGCGCCCGCGGCGGGGGCCGCTTTCCCTTCCCCGCCATTGGCGTGCGTCCCGCCCACAAATCCCATCGGAAAAAAGGCCCAACAGCAGTAGTAGGCCTCCTGGCCTTGCACCAATGGCGGCAAATTCGGCACAACCACCGCCTCAAACCCGCGCTTACAATTCTGGCACCTCAAACAGCAATTCTCGTAAACCCTAGGGTACTCGTACAGCACATAGCAGTACGGGCACGTCGTCCAGAAAGTCGACAATCTCGACCTCTGCTGCTGATGATGCTCACCGTCGTTTGTCAAATCGGCGTCGTTTCGGCTCCGATTGACGCGCCGTACAGGCAATTTGTTCGAATTCGGCGCGCTGAGATCGACTCGGCTGAACGGGCCCAACTCGTTGTCGTAAATCGGCTTCCGAGTCGGGTCGGACAAAACGGCCCATGCATCGGCGACAAGCTTGAACGCGTGCTCGGCATAAGCGTACTTGTTCTTGTCCGGGTGGAGGAGCAACGCCAGCCGTCGATATGACCTCTTGATGAGATCCTGATCTTCGGATCGGCGATCGACCTGGAGAACGGCGTACCAGTCGTGGTGGTTGTTTACGCGCTTGTCGGCGGCCAAGAGCACGTCGGCGACGGCCAAGATCTGATCTGAACCTTCCAATAGCGGCTCGGTCTCTTGCGCCAGAATTGCGAAGTCGCGGCAGCTGCTCAGATCTCGGCTGTGTAGAAGCTTCTCGGCGATTCCGAGCAAGCGCTCGGCTTCTACTCTGTTTGGATCCATGGATTTGGATGGCCGATGGTGTTTGCTGTTCTGGTTTTCTGGGAAAACAAAAAATGTCGAAATCCAAAATGGAAATGGAAATGGTAATTGAAATCGAAAAGTTCCTCTTTCACTCAGTCTCTTTTTTTTTCCTTCGAGGATATTTATTGGGGCTTGATTTTGCATTTAATTGCAGAGTGCTTCAGAGGTGATCTTATTTTTAGTCGGGGTTGTTTTGGTCATTTTAATGAGCATCCCCTGATCATCGCCTTGACCCTTCGCACGGTGTTCAAATCGGAATCGGAAATTTGGAAATGGTAATGGCGCAAAACCAAGTGCCCAAGCGTGCCAAGAGATATCATTGGGAAATTTTTTGAAAAATCCTCTCATATATATATATATATATATTATCAAATCTCACATACCTCTTTTTTCACTCCACCAATATTATCGAAAAGGAAAATTACTGTAGTAATAGTCCTTGAAGTTATAGTAAATTTACATTTTGATCCTCGAATATTGACACCACCAATTCATATACTTCCCACCATCTTCCTTCAAAGTCATTGCAATCCCCAACAAATTAAACCCTAATTCCTCTTTTGAGTTCCAATTGTGATTTTGATTTCAATAATAAGAAGCGACCCAACCCAATGGCAAGCCATCATTCCCTCTCCTTACTTGTATAATGATTTTGTTAGAGTCAACATAGAAAATTTTGAGCCATCTAATACGTGGTTTGGACGTCATCATTGCGATAAAGGACAAAAATTAGCAATTTGTGTTAGAAATCCTTTACATACTTCCATCTCCTCTGAAAAGCAAAAATCCTTTGGACTCAAATCACGGCTTATAAATCCCAACCAATAAGAATTTGCCATGTATCACATTGTTTGATATTTAAGAAGTCAACTGGAGACATATTATTAATGAAGAGTTTCATACACTAGAAAGATAATAATGAAGAGTTTCATATAGATCAAGTTTTTTTTGTAACTTTTTCATTATTAATGTGGAGGCATTGTTGATTTCATATGGTCGCATGACCACTCATTCTTTATGATCAAATAGTAACTTGTTTACACAATCTTATACTTGCTTACATCCGATTTGAAAAAGGAGGTGAGGGGGGCCCGAGACCAAACTTGTCCCTTGGTGGCTCCGCTCTTGATTATGGTGATGATTTTGTTGATTACTGTGAAAATGCATGCAAGACAAGGAAAATAGAAACTTAATATCTTCAAAAACAAGTTAGGCTCCATTCAGATTGAGGGATTCCAAATCAATGAATTCAGATGATGTGTGATTTCACTAGTAAAAAATGTATAGAAAAGTTTATATAGATCCAAATTCTTATTGAGGAGTTGAGTTTAATCCTAGGATTTTGTGACTTTGATCAAAGTCCTTTGACTTTTGTGTCACATAAAATTACATTCATTTTAAAATATTTTTTGATGTAATCTTTTTATTATTTTATTTTGAAAATCATTTTTTGTTCCAATGTTACCCTTTATGACTTGAATCAGGTAATAATCATTTATGTCACATTGCCTATTGCCTATTGCATAGGTGTGTGTGTATATATATATATATATGTATATATATATTTTCATATTTTCGACAATGTGTAATAGCATTTTATGTACCTTTTTTTTTTATAGGTAACATACAATTTTTTTTGTTGGTCTATTTTTGGTAGTCTTCTAATTTATGTTCCTAACTCATAGGTAACATGATTTATCACTAAGTATTTTTCGTTGCTAATAATAACACTATTTACCTGTATGTCAGGTACATAATTTAATGTGGGTGCTTGTCTGATCGATTGGTATAATATGTGAGTCTTTACTTTTTTATTTATTAAAACATTGCAAGGCAATGGAAACTCCGCACGTCGCTAACTGTTTTCGGGGTAGGCCAATCCCGAATAGCTTGCACCTTATCTTCATCCACATAAATGTCATATGCACTAACAACATATCATAGAAAAAGCAACTTATTGGTGAGGGAAGTGCACTTTTTCAAGTTAACATATAACTTGTTATCCTATAAAACTTGTAAAACCTTCCGTGAATGTACCATACATCATGACAAAGCAATGAGTTTTACTCGTGATGTCGTTCTCTTCGAAACGACGGATCATGGACCCAGCTCTGGACTCGAGGCGCAAACCTACATTTTTTCAGCTTTGCCTTCATGCGAACAACGCTTCTGCTCTTCCATGATCGCTTTGGCCATCAGTTCTACATCACATAGGAAAATGAAGGATAGCTTAATAGAGTTAACATTTAGTTAAGGGGAGACGACAAATGCCAGAAGGATAAGAAGAAGACATGAAGGGTACATACAAAATGAGCACATGAGAATTGAACTTGGTGTGGGCTATGGCCTTGCAGTAGCGGAGCCATTAAGGGACCATTGTGGTCTCAGGCCCCCACTCCATTTTTTCCAATTTTATATATATACTATATATGATATATATGATATTGTAATATATTAGATTAGTCTCAGGATATTTATCCTAAAATAACAATATATTAGGTTCTCATTGTCTACAAATTAACCATAAAACTTCTTGATCTCTCATCTACTTGTTCCCCTTAAATTTTGTAGGTTAGTTTATGATATTTGCATTAAAAACTCCTAAAGTTACAACATTTCTTTCTTTTTATCTTTTGTTTAACTTAAGCTTTGTGAATTTTTTATTTCCGTTCTTTTTTCATGTATGAGTTGGGAACCTTAGTGTTGGGATTTATGAAACTTTTTTGTATTCTTCTTTATGTTGGAATATAAATTATTAAGTTCAGTCTTTAATAATATTGACGAATTTAAAATATGAAATTCATGTTTCTAAAAACGTAATGAGTTTTAGTTGGAATATAAATTATTAAGTTCAGTCTTTAATAATAGGGAGTTTCACTAAAACACCCAAAATGGAGGTTGAAATTATAAAAAAAACCCAACACCCAAAACACTTTATAAACACACCCAAAACCCATCATTACACACACTCAAAACCCATTTATAAACACACCCAAAAAGTTGACTTTGGGGTTGATTTTGGGTGTGTTTTTATGTTTAAATAGTTATTGAATTTTTTTATAAATACATGTCTAGTATTGGATTTATTTATAAATTTGTATTAATAATATTGACGAATTTAAAATATAAAATTCATGTTTCTAAAAAGCAATGAGTTTTACTCATGATGTTGTTCTCTTATGAATGCTCCTTTTAATGTAAAATCTTAACTCCGCAACTGTAGCCTGTGGGAGTGCCCTGAGCAAAGTAAGAAGTGTCGCATGGTGAGTTCAATCAAGTGAGACGACAGCGCATCACCTGTATCAAGGACCATCCTCCTCCACATAAAAGCATAATTTTTATATAGTTTTTTGAAGATACTAAACTTAGATATGGACAAAACCATTCACAAAAGTAAGATGCCACATTTTTTACTGTCACGTTACAAAATCAAAGGTGGAGATCAATTGATTGAAAATTAGATTTTTTTTTTTTTTTTTTTTTCCCATAAAAAGGAAGATTGCCTTGGAATTCTTCCCTTTCTTGAACAGCCAGCCAGCAGCAGCAGCAGCAGCAGCAGTCAACTCTCTCTCTCCCTCTCTCTCATTCTCTTCCGTTTTCTGGCTTCAGACCCTGAAAACCCCCGACAAAGGTAAACATTAAACAAAGAGAGGAAACCCAGAATTTAATTAGTTAATTAATTAATGGTTTTCCCTCTTTCTCTTCTTCTTCTTCTTCTCCTTTGTGCTCTGGTATTCTCTGGGCATGTTGTGAAGTTGTGACCTATATTGGTTGGTGGGTTTTTCTGGGTTTTATTCACTTAGATCTGGGGGCCATTAAATCTTTAAAATTTACAAGAAACCCAGAAAATATTGTGCAGTTTTTGAGTGTATGAACATAATATATGTGAAAAGTGGTTGGTTTGAATTTTTTTGAAGGGGACGATGAAAATGATGAGGGAGAAGATCAAGATCAAGAAGATTGACAACTTGCCTGCAAGGCAAGTGACCTTCTCAAAGAGGAGGAGAGGGATCTTCAAGAAAGCTGCAGAGTTATCTGTTCTGTGTGAATCTGAGGTGGCAGTTGTCATCTTTTCTGCTACTGGCAAGCTTTTTGATTATTCAAGCTCAAGGTACCAGCAACACTTCTTTGACTTTTCCTTCCTTGAAAAAATAACCAGTTTAGGTATGATCATGAATCATGATGTCTCTGTACTCTGACTTGACTTCTCTCTGTGTAAGTGAGAGAGGGAGAGAAGGGTGGAGGAGAAGAGTGTCTTTATGGAAATATTGGTTCTTTCCTGAAATTCCATGGTTTGTTTTTTGGTCGAAAATCCATGTAAAGAAAAATACAATGCAGAATCCGAAAGCTTCTAGAAAGGGGAGAGAGAGAGAGAGAGAGAGAGAGAGAGAGAGAGCTAGATAGTTGTATTGTATTTCAAGGGAACTAGTTCGACGATTACTACCTACCATATACTTAAGGAAAGTAAAGTCTACTTTTGATTAAGACAACTTCTATGAAACATTATTTTATTAGTTTTCCATGTTTTCATCCTTGCTGCTTCAATCTCATCATATTAGGTGGGGCTTATACGGTGAAAAATATCATTGTCCACGTCCAAGGAGTTAAAACTAATGGTTTCCCTGTGAGAGACACATTATGTTAGATTATCAATTTAATTATTCACTTAAATAAGAATGTTAGACACAGTATGTTAGATTATCAATCCAATTATACACTCAAATAAGAATGTTAGACACAGTATGACCACAAACGGCAAACTTTATACTAGATTATCAATCCAATTAGATTATCGATTCCCACAAACGGCAAACTTTATACTAGATTCATAGTCTCACCATATAAAATGATATATAATATTCTTTAATAAATATTAAAGTATCCTTCAAACTTAAGATAGAGGGGGGGTTGTGTTTGAAAAGGCGTCCTTTCTGTCTCCTCACCTAAATGTGGTTACAGACATTGAATTATATGATTTGTAGTTTTCTTACTAGGAATAAGTTGATATGATGATAACTGGG